GCCTACATAGAGCTAAAAAAACAGAGCTGATGCCTCGCTGACCTGCAAACCATGTTTTTTCACACACGCCACAACAGTCCCCTCTCAAAAAATACTATACGCCTTATCAAGAAGTTTTTTCATATAAGAACCCCCGCAAAGAGATTTTCTAGACCTTATGTATCCCTATGTAAACCTGTATGCTCCCACCGAAGTCCCTGAAGGGGTCCCTACTTGGAGGGGCTCGGCTCAGTAAGTAGGTGAGTAACCCTATAAGCCACAGACTGTTCCCAGGTTTCCCCCCTTGTATCAACCTACTTGTTGGGTCCCCCCGACCCTCCAAGTAAGATTCAACTCATATACCCCCTAATTACATGGAATCAGTTTCCATTTCATGTTCCATTTCCTTTTCAATTTCAGTGTCCATTCCCAGACCCTCCAACTACCTTCTATTCAGGCCTAAGTACCCCGTATTCGGGGGCATATAATCCCAATTGAAGGTACCACGAGGGTCCTGATTATTTCCATTCCTAACCTATCCCTAAGGGTCCAAGGACCCAAATAACAGGGTTTCACACGGCAAGCCAAGAGGGCCCAAATACCATTAAGAATATAGTATTTTGGGCCTTAAAACCCTATTATTTGGGTCCTTGGACCCTTATATAGTCCCCATATATCCCTATATACCCCTTATAAACCCTTTTAAGGGACCCTAGGGCCCTAGTATTTGGGTCCTTGGACTAAACCCTAGACCCTAAACACTATAAACCCTAAACTTAGGGTAATAGGTTTCAAGCGCCGAGGTTCTACCAAAACAGAAGTAAGTCGAGCGCCAAGTATGCCCAGGACAGCGAGGCTGGGACCTCCTCGGGTCCCCCAAACGGTTTAGGGTTTAGGGTTTAGAGTCTACTTGGAGGGTCACTGGAACTTAGTAAGTAGGTTCAGAATGGGGATCGCTAGGGATACTGTGGAATTTGGGTTTTTGGGGTTATTGACCTGCTTTCTACAGTAAGTCCTCCTGACCCTCCAAGAAGGGTGTAGAGTTTAGGGTTATGGTTTTGCATGAGGTTTAGAGTGTAGAGTTTGGGGGTCTAGATTCTCAGGTTTAGGGTTTCCCCGAATTAAGATCAGGCCTGAACTCCAACGTCAAAATCCTGACATCGATGCCTGAGAACTTCTCAGGCAATTGGAGCCCTGTTTCAGCAATAGGGTTCAGGGTATGCATTCTACTCGCCCAAACCTAGCATGGTAATAGCAAGTAGCCGTAAAATTGGTAACATGGAACCCCAACAGGGCCCCTATGAAGCCCGCGGTACCGCGCTACTTTCAAAAAGGCGCTCGCGTCGCGGGTGCATGCTAGTTTGGTGGAGGGTGGTGGGTTCTGGTCATACTGTTGATGGAGGAAATCTTGCACCAGCTTAGGTCCCTAAAGTCCCAGGCATGACAGTAGTTTGGGCCTGCAAGATTTCCTCCATCAACAGTAGGGTTGGGGTTTCTAGGTCTTAGGGATTGGATGGTCGTGTTGTGAGTATCTGTCGCTGCTAAGGTTGCTTAAATCTATTGTGGCGCTCTGTTCAATACCTGAGGTCCCTGGCCAAAAAACAGGAGAGTCCAGAAAATTCGAAGTAGGCATCCTCCTTATAATGTAGTAGTTTCCATTTTCTTTTCCGTTATCCCTATATACACCTTGTATCACCCGAATATTAACCCTATATAACCCCAAATTAAACATTATATAAACCCTATACAACAACACCCATAGAAGCCACATATAACCCCTTTGTTCCCTATATAGCCCCTATATAAACCCTATATAACCCCCATAATTGGGGCGCGGGATTTATTGTTGTCAGTACTGTGGTTGAGACCTTGTTCTACAATGATTACTGCTACTGTGAATACTACTAGTCTTAGTGCAAAAAAACATTTTAGTTCCTAGCTTGATTGTTGTTATTGTTCTCTTGAGGTTCACACCAATTACGAGTACAAAGTTCAAAACCAGTTGCTCAGGGGTCTTTTTTTTTTTGCAGCTTCCATTTTCCCGATGAGAAGCCTACAGCTTGTACAAGGAGATGTCACCTTGCTGCTTCGTGCTCTTCAGGGGAATATTACATGCATTTTCATCGCGCGTCGCTTGACGCGCAGCGCGTGGCAGTACTTTTTTTTCCTTTCAGATAGCCTTGTATACATTTCTTCTTGCATGCTGATCATATTATCAAGTGTCTTATCACATCGCAAATCTGCTTTTCATTTCACGCGCCACTCGGCGCGTAAAAACGCGCGCCGCGCGACGTGCAAAAAATGCGCGTTGCGCTGAGGCTTCGGCTTAGGGGCAAAAGTCTGGGATATGGGGAAGTATGGTTTAGAGGTCAAACTGTACTGTGAAGCCCTGCTGGGGGCTGGGCAGCCTCAACGGGCACCTCATAGAGAAAAGATTTGACAGGACTTGTGCAGTCATCACTGTTTTGCAATCAGAAGTCAAGCTCTTTGAGACCACTCTGCATGATGGCAACGATGGGCCTTGTTGCTTGAGTTGTCATACTGAGGGCCCAAGCCCGAAAGCTACGAACACAAAAGCCCCAAGCTGTGTACATCCCCAGACATGCTGATGAATCCTTGTGGTAGTTTCCATACATAGGGGGGGCCCAATATATAGACTCGAGCCTACCATAATCCTTGTAAGGGACCAGTCCCCAGAAAGGTATCCCTAATTTTGGGAACCTCCCATATCCATTCTGAGTATCTACCCCGCCAATGCCAACCTTCAACCCTAAAACCTGAATAATCAACCCAGGGTCTACAGTACCACCAGCACGCGAGTAACATTTTTATGATGATACGCTAGTCCCCTAGAGAGAGCAAGAGTCAGAGTAGTTCGTAAGAGGGATACAAATCCTTCAGGGTTCAAATCTTTACACTATCAGATATCGCCCCAACGCCACGATCTATCTGCAATTGGTTGCAAACCTCTTAGAAGTCCCTGAGCACCAAAGTTCTTTGGGCACTCGGACTCTCTGCCCAGGCCCTCCACCTAAACCCTAAACCATCCTAAACCCAAAAATCCTAAACCCCAAAACCCCAAAACCCAAAACCCCTGAACCCAAAACCCTAAACTTTGCCTTATGGTTCCCCGTGTATCCCAGTGTCCCCAGGCGTCTCCTGGGATGGATTGGGAGGACATTTGTTTTGTGGTTCATTTTTTTTTGGGGTGCGGGAGGGGGGGGGGTGGGGGGCAGGCGTTGGTGGTTTCGGGTTTAGGGTTTAGAGTTCGGAGCTTAGGGGTTGGAGCTTGGGGTTAAGGGTTTTTGCTGTTTAGAGGGGGTTTGCGGTTTATATTATATAGTCTGTGTCGCACGGATGAGTATTGCTGTCCTTAACTCAAGATTCTCCACCCTGCGCTAGCTATGCCTAAGTGCAACGCTTTAAACGCTGAAGGTTTGGGCTTCAGGGCTTGCCGTTTGGGAGTTCGAGGATTTGGAATGTCAGGCTTAGGGCATTTAGGGTTTACGGAGAAGACCTCAGCTCATGAGCTCTCCTGTCCAAGTCACTTGCCGTTCCACTGAAGGTCTAAGATTTTAGGGCTCAGTTGATGTAGGATACGATGCTTCATTGGCCTTATACAGAAATGAGGAGCACACACTAGGGATATCCCAGTGAGGAGCCGGTTGATCGTTTTAAACTTGATGCTGTGACATTTCCTGGATATCATGAACGCTGGTTTAAAAAAATTGGGTGAGGGATGATCGCTACCCGGAGATTTTTGCTTTTAAGCTTAGAGATGTGTACCCAATGCCTGAAGCTCTTAGAGCTCGAAACTTGCCCTACCAAATCCCAAACTCTAAAGCCCCAAACGCCAACTACATTCGCCCTCGGCCCTAGACTCGCTTGCAGGAGGATGATGACGACATGCAGCAAGAGTCAGCGGTTTCGAAAAAGCTGTCCGAGATGACGACGCGACGAGTGGCGTCGGGTGCAAGAAGTTTAGACCTGTGAGTTTAGGGTTAGGGCCCTAGATTGTTTGCAGGGATGCCATCTAAGTTTCGGAATCTGTCGTTTCAGCGCCATCTTCTTGAGATCCTGTACGGACTCTTGTCTCATATCAACAGCGATTTTGAGTAAAAGCTTGAGGAGGCTTGGCGTAGAGGGCGCTGCTGTTCAGTCCATTCCAAAGCCCAAGGCCGATTGTTGATCTTAAGGGTCTTGGTCCTCATGGTAGCTACTGGCGAAGCCCTAAAAGTCGAACCCTGAATAGGCCTAATCTTCAGAAAGCTTCAGCCACCTCAGGTCGTGATGCTTGTGCTGATCATCATGCTGTCCCTTCCCTTCTTCCAGCCGGGCATGTACAACGAAGACCTCCCGTCCTCAGCCCAGTACGGCGCCAACGTGCTCTTCCGAAGATGGCGCGATGATATGAACACGTGCCTACAGCTGTCTCAGTGGGTGAGTTAGGAGTTTGGGGTGTTGCAGTTTAGGTTTGTAGGGAGGGCGGGTACTGGAGTCCACATGCAGATAGGCTTGTTAGATGTCTCGCAGCACCCTGCGCAGTTGTCAAAAGTGTTCTTTCCATGTGGAATCTATGCCATCTATGCGGTTATGGCAAATATATGAACACCTTCCTACTGCTGTCCAAGGGGTTCTCACGAGACTTGGGGGAAGTCTTCAGATTATCAGTGTGATTATTTGGTGCTCTATGGCTCTATGCTATAGACTGGTTTGGCACACAGGGGGAGCAAAAAGTAAGTCTCTCAAAGTATGTCGGCGCATTCTGAACTGCCCAACTGCAGTCACGGATTCTAGCGCATCTGAAAAGCAGATGCTGCGCATGCTACGGAGTGTAGCTGGAAAAATGAGCTCCCTACACCCCAACCCCAAATTAAACCCTAGCCGCGCGCACTTGAGGTATGAGCCTTGGGCCAATGACACAGCCCGGGCAGCCTACTTTGGGTCCAAAGGCCGCGAGGTCTATGTTGACGATTTTTTCATGTTCGCCTACTACCACAGCCCTTACACGACCCAGGAGGGTGCGATTCGGAGTTTGCTTTAGGCAAGGGTGGGATCTGGGGTCGGAGCTTGCGGCTTAGTACCAGGTTGAAGCATCAGGGGTTGGGGTCTCTTTCAATTTAGAGTTTCAGTTTAAGGCTAAATCTCAAGTGTCTAGGTTGATTCAGGGTCAGGTTCAAGGCTTGGTTTAGCAGTGGTTTTGCAGGGTGTTCTTTCCATAATAGCTCCCCCTGTCCCAAAGGAATCCCTTCAAGATCTTTTGCCAAGGTCCACGGATGGCTTGCTATAAACACGTGCCCATTACAAGCCATGTGGGCTATAGTCTAAACCCCTTAAAGGAGTTATATAAGGGATTACATAGGGGAGTATTAAAGGGGCCTTTAAGGGGCATACTAGATGTTTAGATTATAGCTCATGTAATAACCCCATTTATACCCTCCAAGTGCCAGCCCTGCTCCTTCTTGACCCTTGCAGGAGTCGGTGCCTGCAGGGGCGGTAAGCTCACCTCTTAGCAGCTTCAATCGCCTTTTCTGGGTGGGTGCACATCCGCCGGGGTCCTGGTTTGTTTTTCGTGGCTTCGTGTTGAGAGGGTTGAAGTTTGTGGGGTCTACTCTGCTTGTGTTAGGGAACTCAAGTTAGCTTGCCATTAGAAGGCATGCTTGCTACTCTGGCCCAGAGTATGGTAACTCACTTTAAGTTCCTTGACAGCTAACCACTTCAGGGTTCAGAGGAGTTTACGGTGGTGGGTTTGGAAAAGAGTTCATAAGTTGTTGAGCATTTCTGGTTTTGAAAGGGGCGTGGAGGTGCTAAGATCCCATGATAGGGCTTGAGGAAAGATTTAGCAGGGCTGCACGCGCTTGGAGTTGCAAGATGCTGTGCTGGAAATATCCTAAACTCTACTGGGTTGCTGTTAAGGAACTTAAATTAAGTTACTATATTGGGGAAACCCCATTATTTACTATATATACCCATTATAGTAACATAATTTAAGTTCCTTAACAGCAACCCAGTCTAAACCCTAAGCCCTAAACCCTTAATAGCCTACTTCACCTCAGTAAGTACTGTAGATGGCTATTGCGAAGGGTTGTATTTGATTAAAATTCTCCAGTAATACTGCCTAATAGGGTGATTTAGAGATGGAACGTCCAAGGTTGGAAATCTAGGCTCCCAACAGGACTTTCAGGTGAGCTATAGTCTAAACTCCTTTAAGGGAGGGGGGGTTTATATGGGGGAGTATTATAAGGGTTATTAAGAGGGATACTAGAAATCTAGACTATAGCTCATGTACACTGTGCGGGTAAGTCTTTGGGTCATTATACTCTAGGTATGTTCTTGGTGACTGAAGTACTGACGGACCATCCAGAAGGTCATAAGTAGACTGACGAACTTACTGAGACTTACTGAGTTCCGCTGACCCCAAAGTAGAGCTTTATGTTTAGGGCGGCTGAATGTGTGGGGTTGAGGCTTAGGGTTCCAGTTGAAGGTTAAGATGCTGAGTTAGGGCTAAGAGGAGGACCGAATGGAGGGTCAGGTTTAGGTCTTGGGCTTTTGGGGGGAAGGCTTTAGGGGTTGACGGTTTAGGGCTATTGGGGAGTTTAAGGCACGGTATCCAATGCATTGACTGTTGAGGATTAGTGGTCGGCTTCTTCCGGGGATATTGGGCATGGAGGGTGTGTCCTTTCCCGCCCCGTTTGAGATGGTGTCCTTTAGAAAGAGGGATGATTGTAATTGAGATTTTCACTGTTCAGACTACTTGTATGATTCCATGCCTTTTGCAAGCTGAAAGCCTATGACCTCATTAGCCTTCGAAAAGCCGTTAAAGAACTCTAGAGGAAGAGACCAATGTCCTAGCCACTCCACATGACGCCCATTGAGAGCTTCAGAAACTCATCTACTTTCCAGCTACTCGTACATAGTAGTACAGGCTCGAAATCCCACTACCCCAAACCTGTGAAAAGTAACCAGTTGGAGGTAAAGTACTCTACCCAACTGCCAGGGACAACGAGACTTTGGGTCAGTTCTTCTTGCCCTCCTTTGAGGGAAGAGGCCGGTCCGCTGTCAGTGATCTCCACTGGCCTGGGAGTCTTCAGGTTGAAGGTTTAGGGTTTAGAGTTTAGGGTCCTTGTCCGTAGGGTTGTGTTGGGGTTAGATAATATGGGGATCTCATTTCCCAATAATGGAGAATCAAATGGACGAGAACATGGCAAATGACATGAAAATGAAGCCCGGATTTTGAAGTGTACTTCATAGCTCTGTAGACCCTGTATGTCCTTCCTTTCTGGAGTTCTGTCCCACATTTCTGTAGGGTAGATCACAAAAAAGGTAGGAGATTCAGGGTCCAGGTAGGGCATGCTGTGGAAGCAGGAGTCAGACATGTTTGGGGTTGAGAGAGGTGTTTAGGGTTTAGGCGGGAAGTCGGACGCTGCATTATAACGTGAGTCCTACAAGCTCTCCTTAGATTGGTTGGTACCAACTCTCTTCTGATAGCTTAGAACGTGCCACGTGAGCTGAGCAGGAGAAGACTGCTGCGCAGGTAGCTCTGTGCATGCACGCCTAAACTGATAACATTTTGGGTCATAGAAAACCGTATGGTACAGGTAGACTCTTCCTTTGCTTATTTGTAGCTAGATTGTTTGGTTTCTTAACGGTGTTAAGCTACGCGATGCAGCCGCAGGAAACTAAGGTAACTCCAAACCGTGAATCCCTAGAGACACCTGCATTGATAAACCAGCTTCCCGACAGACTTGTTTCAGCATCGGGGTACCTCCACCCTGATATGGTGGGCTGTCAAAACTGTTGTCCTTTCTAGGCTTGCTACAAACAACAGCCCTTGATTTATAGGGTACTCAAAAACAGGGATCATGGTTGCAACAATTTTGATCACCTTCCATATGGGGGTTTCCCAAGATTCAGTGCTGCTTTCTAGGGGGTCCTTATAAAACCCTATATGCTCAAGGGTTCTACGGTTCATTATGATGGCCTGTATGTATGAAACCCTCGGTCGTGTTCCCAAGCAACCTTCACTATTTGAAGCCTCGGATCCCTGAATAAACCGGTTTAGAGTCACACGGTTTTGGGTTTAGGGTTTAGGGTTTGGCGTGTATGATTTTAGGGCTTAACCATACGCCCCAAACCCTTCGAGCCCAGGTATATTCGAATTGTACAGCAACATTTGGTCAACATCCGCCCAAAACCCGGTCAAAACTCCCGGCATGACCCTGTACAGTTAGTGCTTTTGCTATGAAAAACATTACGAAATTCCACTTCATAGAGCCCTAGGCCCTAAACCCTGATACAAACCCTAAACCCTTCAACCCTAAAGCCTTAAACCCTTAAACTCTTAAACCGCTCAACCCTACACCCATTGTAGGAATTCTGCCTAAAAGCCTAAGCAACATGTAGAGACCCAGCGGGTTAGAGCAGGCACCGGTGCCGGGCAGGCCCAGACCTACGACCCGACACCAAACTGCAGGGAGTTAGGGCTTAGGGTTTAGGGTATAGGGTTCAGGGTTTAAGGTTTAGGGTCAAGGGTTTGGGGTTTAGGGTTGAGGGTTTAGGGTTTAGGGTTTGTGTGTGTGTGTGTTTAGGGTTGCGAGGTTTAGGGTTTTGGGGTTAGATTTTGGGGTTGTTTTCTAACGTTGGTAGTACGCCTTACGGCAAAATAATTAGACTTCATAGAGAACCAATCGGAAGCTGAAATGGAAGCTGACCAGTGGGCTCTTATAGGGTTCATATGAGCTACTGTCAGTATTTGGCTTGGCAAGGACCATGAGGGGGTAAAGTCCTAAAGGTCTTAGCACATTCCCTCAAAGATGCCCAGGTCCATGAATTTCATGGGAAATACAGACTGTAGCTCATATGAGAGCGAGTGTAATGTAGGGGCCCACAGAACCACCAACGTTGTTGTCCGAAAATTGTGGTAACTTCAAAATTACATTAGTAATTATTCAGGTCCCTGTACTACGCGCTGTAACATATGGGGGTTGAGAGTAGTGTTCAGTGATTTCAGGGTTTGGGGTTACCCTAAACCCTAAACCCTATGCAATGATTAAGGGATGGCGGCTTTGGGGTTCAGAATTGCGGGTTTGCCTTAGTTCAGTAAATCTGTTGGGCTTGGGATTGCGGTGTAAAGGGCAGATGTAGGCAGGATGATTAAAGGTTTGGACGGCCTGAGGCGCATACAAACAGGGACTAGGTGAGGATGATGTCTAGGGCTTAGGGTTTAGGTCAAGAGTGGAGGATTGGATTCAGGTGTCAGGGCTTCGGGTTAAGTAGTTGGGGTTCCTCTCATGAGAAGGTGCCTAAGCCTCACTACCCTAATCATGGATTTTACCACTCCGAACGGACGTCTCTGATCACTACTGAGACAACTACCCAGTTCACCCACGACCTACACTGCTTAATTGAGCAGTACAACCTACAGTTGCATCGCAAATGTCTCTGTGGCTACGATCTCTAATGAGTTTAGACTATAATCCCCTATAATCCCCTATATAGTACCAGTTTCCATTTCATTTTCCATTTTCTTTTCCATTTGATTCTCCATTATTAATGGGGGATCCTAGGAGTTATATGTGGCGGAAGGTTTTTTAGGCTCCCATTTTGACCTTCAGAAGGGCGCCTTGACTTCGCTAGCTGCTTGTGTCTTGATGCACAGCCCCGGAGAGGGCTTCCAGCTAAACCCTAAACCCTAAACACTAAAAAAAAACACTGCTTGAGAAGAGGGAAAGCTGGTGGTACTCATAGGAGAGGACTAGAAAACTAGGTATCCACCCCTTATCCCCTGCTAATCTTGGGAAAGCGCCAACTTTGCAGCTGCAAGGAACGAGCGTTGGGGTGGCGCAGATTGGCTCTACTACCAAGGCCATGAAGTTGAGCTTGAGAAATTGGATGGTTTTGGGATAAGGGTTTAGGGCTTAAAGGGCTTATTGGAAAACCACCACTTGGGTTCTTGGAGGCCCAGAGTATTTATTAGCTGCTTCGTAACTATAGTTACAGGCCAACTCTGCCCCCCAACTACAATTACCCGTGATATAACTGATTACAAGTACGGCCAGGTAACATCGACCTCCCCCGACCTCCAAGTCTTCCCCTTCCCTAAAACAGCTCTGTACAGGACCCTAAGAAATTGTATATCATGTCACTACTATGGTGATGTTGGGGGACTGTTCCAGGGTAGTGCGACATCCAACCAGGGACCACCCTGAATTTGTCAACCATAAGCCTTAAATCCTGAATCCTAAACCCTAAGCCCTATAAGCCATAGGTAAGCCCTATTCAAAGGTGCCCATAATTTGGGGAAGCCCCCAAGTCATTTGTCTTCTGTGCGAGTTCATGGCAAAGAGCTCAACCCCTGAATGGTGGTACTCGGAGGAGAAAGGTTACTAATAATGCAGAAGAAAATGAAAGCTACTATATTACATAGTCGTCCTGCGTTGGTCAGTGGGATGCCGCGGAAACTTGCGTGTTCATTTTACAGTTCAGCCTGTCTTGAAAGTTGGTGTCCGATATGCGCAAGGCAGAAGCTCAAAACCTCGTGTGCATGGGATATGGGCATCAGGTTCTTTGTGTTCGCATTGCCAAGTAACGACCCAGCAGCAAAAAATGACAGTACATGCGACCTAAAAAGCCCTCGGTTAATACTTCCCTGCATATACCAGATTGACAGCCTCAGCGCATGCTATCATCCTGCCCGCTACTGCCGTTGTAGCTGGCTTTTCTTTGGCTTACCACAAGCTTGCGCAAACTGCTGACCGAAATCGACGGATCTTGATTTTCAGCAGCCCTCCTCTTGCAGCTTCCCGCTAAGTCAGACCCCCATGTGAAAAAAAAATTAACTGCTAAACGCCTGATAGATGTACACAAGTCATTGATGTGCTATGAGTGGGAGGGGGTCTTCTATGTGCACGGCATGGGCGCTCAAACTTCTGCAGCCTTGTTGCGTGGCTTAGGGAAGTTTAGGGTCTTGGATTTCTTTTCATGAGTCGGCGCGCATACAGCAGGACGGAAGTTTTGAGGCGCGCACAGCTGGAGGCTCAAGCATTGCAATGATCAGGGCCCCAGATGCTTCAACATAAAATGGAGACTACTATATTAAAGGGCTTTTTTGGGATTATATAGGCGTTATATATGGGTTATATGGCAATAATGGAAACCAGTCTTCCCTTTGCCATCGATCCTCAACCCTGCTCCGAGCACCTACGCAGTCAACAAGCCTGCTCCCCCCATTTGGGTATTTGGGTTCCGTGATCCGTACGGCTCCCCTAAACCCTAAACCCCTAAACCCTAAACCTGGAACCATGAAAACCCTAAACTCCAAACCCTAAACCTCGAACCCTAAACCCTTAAAGCCTCAACCCCCAACTCTGGAACTCCACAAGCAAAGGCCTTTGGAAAAGGCATCCTGCTTTTGACTGTCGCCCTGGCCCTTAGCCCTGCAACCGTTGAACCAAGCCGTGAACCCTGATCCCTAAATGGAAACTACAGGGATCATAGGGATATATAGGGGTTATATAGGGATTGTAGGGTATGTATTGGGGGTTATATTGGGATAATGGAAAAGAAAATGGAAAGTGAAAAGAGGTGCCCTAAACCCTAAACCCTAAACCCTAAGCCCTAAATCAGAAAACTGCGTGAAGGCAACTTGACTTCGGATCCTGCTGGGCTCCTCTACTCGCCATGGGCGACTGCACAGCGCTATGCCCAGACTCCATGAAATGGTTTGGGGTTGAGGGTTTAGGGCTTAGGGTTTACCGGTTAGGGTTTAAAGGTGTAGAGTCTAGGGTGACTGTAAGGGATACTGGTGATGCGATTGGGGCCCTTGTGTGCCTTGAGTGCTGGGGATTTGTGGACTGTAGGGCGTAAAGTCAAGGATTTAGGGGCCCAGGGGCTTCGGGGTGTGGAGTTTGGGACGTTACAGCCTCTAAGGTTTTGGGGTTTGGGGGCATTCAAAGTCCAGGAGCTTAGGATTCAGGATTTCGGTGTTTTCAGGTCAAGGTTCAATCGTCTAACCTGTTAGATATATCTGTACATATAGGGTTCAGGGTTTAGGGTTAAGCGGGTAGGAGTTAGGGGGCTAGGGTTCTGGGTGTAGGAGTTTATGGCTAAAGGTTGAGTGGCCTATACGCGAGTTCCTCAAAAAGGGCATCATTGTATAGTCATAGGGGCTAGCGAACAGTGACCCACCATGTAGGTATTTTGGCGTCTAGGATTTGTTTTGGTCTTCGCAGATTGCAGTTAGACCCTGACTTTAAACCTTAACCGCAGGGTCCCAGCATTTGTGTAGGCAAGGCGTCATGTCCTGAGACTAAAGCGCTTTGAGGCTGAACTGATTCTCATCGCCGAAACTCCAACTCCGAATCCCAAAGCCCAAGCTCTTTTGCACAGAAACCCTCCCTAAACAAAGGTCTCAGTGCAACAGGATTTTCCGAGCGATGGGAATAGACCCTTCAAAACAGCAAATACAGGAGCTGCATCCGGGGCTACATGCGTGGGGCCTCGCTGGTGCCTGAATTGGCAACAGACTCAGCAGTACGGTGCGCAGGGATAGGTTTGAAAATAATCTTTAACTTTGACTACCCTTAATCCCTAAACCCTAAACCCTAAACCCCTTGTAACGCAACCCCCAAAAAACAATTTCTATAGGGCCCCCCAGCCTACCCTAGTACAGGGTGTTTAGGGTTAAGGTTTTAGGGCATTGGTTAGGTGGCCCCCCCAGCCTGTAATAGTGGTGTCATGAGGATATAAGCGGACCCGCATATAATCACCAAGATCCATTTTAGTCACCCCTAAACCCCCTAAACTCTGAACAATAAGGCGCCCTAAGCCCCTCTTTGTCCCTTGTAGTCCACCTAAGGCATGGAAGCTTTTACTGGGTTGCTGTTAAGGAGCTTAAACTAAGTTACCATAATCGGCACATACAGTAATTAATAGGCTCTCCCAAACATAGTAAGTTAAATTGAGTTCCTTAAATCCCTGTATGCCTTCAGTTGGCCATTTCATTGTCCATTATCTTTTTGCATTTGATTCTCCATAATAGGGGGATAATATCCCTAAACCCTAAACCTTAAACCCTGGACCCTAATCTCTAAACCCTGAACCCTAAACCCTAAAACCTACAACCCAGTTTGGGGCATTGAGGGTAATGAAGCATAGCAAGGAGTGGTTTTGGTGCAAGCTGGGGTTGTATTTGTCAGCGCGTCAGGGTTTGAGTGGGTTTAGGGTTCACAGGGTTAGGGTTTCGGGTTTAGAGGCTTTAGGGGGTTTAGGGTTTAGGGTGGGTTTAGGGCTTAGGGTTTGGGGATGTTTTCCTCATGTTTTTTGCCAAGTGCGCATGGATTGAAGGAGGAGTGACGAGCAGTGCCGGGAAACTGGGTCAGGTTTATGTCGATGCCAAGAAGCTATCGGTGTAAAGGTCAGGCCTCTGCTTCAGTAGTTCCGTCAGAAGCTGGAATCTGATGCCACCGGAAACCATCGTTGCTTCCAAAGCCGCTTATTGAATCAGACCAGGCGATCGAATTCCAAAGGAGGTAATCCCGCAGGCCCCGTGAACCTCAATGACATGAACGATTTGGGGGGGCTCAATCATGCAACGGCTGTAAACGTTTCATTGATGGGCCAATGGCGAGGTCTAAGCCCTAAACCCTAAACGCTAGCCCTTGGGTTCTCAAGGGCAGGCCTTGAAACAAAAAGGCCGAGATCTAGTACGGCTAGTCCAGTCCTTCCTATTCTGTACAGAACTTATAAGCTAACCTGAACTACTCCGATTGGGACTCTACATGGATCATATAAGGGTTTGTCGCAAGGTTACATAACGAGGTTTTAGGGTTTAGGGCCTAAAGAATTACCCATGTTATGGTTCCATATTCCTGGTATTAGTATAGTGTAGAGTATCTCCAAAAGACCAAAAACGATGCTGGTATTTATTCAGGCCGCCACGGTAATGTTCCAAGGCATGTCCGGACGTCTTGCGTTACAACGAGCGGACGGTCATTGTTCCCACAGCCACTGCCTGAGACAACAGGGTACACTTAGGGTTTAGGGTGTTACAATGGAACAAGAATGGAGCTCTTTTCGCCCTAAACCCCGAACCCTACAGCCTCCCGAGGTCCGAGGGCCCTTTTCCAGGTTCCTGGTTCAGTGTGGGGGAACGCAAGTGTGTGGGCCTTTCTTTGAGCCTCAGGATTACAAAGTCAAAGCTGTGTAGAACATCTTGGTGGCTCCCTGCTCAGGAACAGACCAGTATGGTTGCTGGACCCAAGAACAGTACTGCACCATGATTTCTATAGGCTTTCGCATACAGGCTCACGCAGGGTTGTGTCATCAAGGGCGAGGGTTTGGGAAGTTGTGGCTGGCGCTTTCCCAAGTCTTTTCGTTGGAACGAGCGCGGTTATCTCCAATCTTTGCATGACCTGTTTCAACATCTCCGACAGATGTTGCATCTTCCTGCAGTTAAGGATTTAGGGTTCAGTCAACAGTGCCAGTCGCCGATAAACTTAAACAACATCGTTGGAGCTTCCAAAAAGGGGGCGGTCCCGCTTACGTAATTGCCACATAATTTGGAATGGTCACAGGGGCTCAACCAGCAGTAAAAGGACGGAAGCTAGCTGCAAGACCTGGGCGAGCATACGACTGAGTCCCCTTGACCCTCCGATTAGGAGGGGCGCATGACTGCAATGCACGATTGCATACTAAGACGGCGACATCCGCCGAGTACGAAGAGCTGCACTTCATCTTTGTCTTTGACCGGAGGACTGTTAGCAAGGGAATACTGTAGTAAGCATTGTACATATTAAAAGAGCCAAGGTGGCAGACAAAACCATCGAACCCTATTATCTATCATGACCATACTCAGCAGCATTGCA